TAATTTCCGGCCATCTAGAGATGCCCTAATCATAAATTTTCTTACCTCAGCCCCAACCATGGTGGGGCTGAGGTGGGTGGTTCCTCGGTCTGTGAAAGTCCCTCCCTCGTTCACCTCTCTTTCGAATCTGTCACTGTCGATGTATTATATAATTATTTTTTCGCTTATTTATAATGCGTCTATTGCAATTTTCACTTTATCCTCTCAAACAGTCCTAAGAACATTCAGAGTGCACTACTTCACAGGGGGATTCGCCCCTTGACCCCGCCGGGGGCATACGTAATTCGCATAACGGCTCCCCACCCCCTTTCAAAATCCTGGCTACGTCCCTGGGTGTGGCCAACATAATAGGCCTAATTTGTTTTTATTTGGTCTAATCCATCTACCTCACAATAATATTGTTTATACTGTACAGTATACATCTTGAAACTTTCGAAAATAAATACACAAAAAAGAAATAACATTATTCGGAGGATAATTTATTTAAAAAAAATTGAAGTGACTAAAAAACAACACTTATAGTCATTCAAATCATGTATGACGTTGTGTAGATATACTTCATCAATACGTTTTAGTTTCACATTACTGAAAATAGTGCAGATGATTGTTCTGTTGGCGTCAATATTTTTTTAAAGTTTCAATAACCACAACTAGTTTCTTAACATGTACTCAACCGCAATCATTTCTGGTCCGCTTCATTGCCAGAGGCTTTCCAAATCTTTTCCAACAGGTCATGAAACAGTTTGGTATTCTTCAAATTAATTTCAGTCTATTTCCTTCATTTAGGTATACATTTACGTAAGCTTTGTACCATGTTAGTACGATGCACTATAAATACTTTTGGAACATACTTTAGGGCCTGAATTTTGTGTAGGTGAATAAGTTGTTTGGAAGCGAAGTATGGCGGTTTGAAAGTTGGTGAATTTATATACATTTCTTGTAGAATGGCCTTCATGAAATTACTAAATTTTAGGGTTTAGAGTTGAAATATAGAACCCAAACTTCAAAAATAGTAAGATTAAAGGTAATACTTTATATTTATGATATAATAATATTTTGCTCAATTACATGTTATAATGTCTATTTGGCCCTTTTTCTCGACACCTGGTGATGCGAGTTTGCAGCCCTTTTGTGGTCTTGGGTCACATATAATGCCTTTATTAATTTACCTTCATCGGAAAGAATATCAATCAAAAATAAAAAGTCTTTCTCCAATTAAAGACCACTTTTGAAACTAAGTCTTTAGCATCTTTGGTCTTCAATCAGAGCTAATATTATAAAAAATATATAAGATAGGCATTTATTTAGTTGCTGCTAAAATGTGGTCTATAATCGGAGGTTGTCTTTCATTTTTAGGATCTTTAATAAGATGGAGACCTGTTTAATGTAGGCATCATCTAACCAAAGAGTAATGCTTAACCAAGTCTTTGATGCTAATAAATTTGCTGTCTCTATATTTCCACATCTGTTGATTATTTTGGTATCCTTCTGAGCTCATGGGCAAGCCAAAGAGCAATGGTTAGCAAAGACAGAGAACCAAATTGGTGAGATGCAGCCAGGTTTGTAGGCACATAGTACAACAGTGTGGCTATACCTAATGTCACCTGTAAAAAATAAACAATTTAATATTTATATTACTATTATGATAGTATAATTAATACAAGCTATGTTATGATAAGATATTTTATAATTCATTTCATTCAGATACATTAAAATGTGAAGAACAGAACATATTTGACAAAAAAATTATCAATTTAAAAAAAAATAATAATTTAAAGTATTTTTTAAAGTGTGACATAAAAAACAGTAAAATTATCATAATTAACTCTGTTCTTCTGCTGTCAAGGAGTGTTTGAGCATCCGGTAGATCTTGTTAAATGCAGGTGGGAATGTAGGGGGCATGGAGGCATGTGCCCCCGTTTTGCCACTAAATTTTAAAATGGCAATGCATATCAATAAAATATTATGTATTAAAATAAGCGAAATTCGCTTCTATCCTGAAAATGTTCCCCTACCAGAGGTGGCGCCATCAGGGGAGGGGGGGGGAGGCCTGGATCCCCTTGTCTTCGGAACGAACAACTAGGTTGTCGGACCAAAATAAAAAAAATAATAATAATTTGCCTATCCAAATAATGCTAGTTTTTGAGATTGGCAATCAAAATAGCCAATCTCAAATACTGTGGTTTAAAAGCACATTTAGGACAAAATTAAGTCATTAAAAACTCTCTCCATGAACTCTAACAGGGATTTTTTTATTCCAGGTCATCAACCAAGGCTTTATCGTCGCCTTGGTTTGGACCTCTCCCTTGGACACATCGGATCCCTTGTCGGCAAATTTCTGGCGCCACCGTTGGCCCTCACCCGTTTGAAAAATCTGGATCCGCCCCTGAAAATAACTTTTTAAACGCATTTAATGCTGGGCATGGTGACACCCATCGGCACTGACTTCTACAGTATACGACAATTGATGTAAAAAGTTGTAAAAAAACATGAAAATATTATAAGAATTTGCAGAGATGTGTTATTTTCGGGGATATTCTTGCTTGCTTGAGGGAGTGCAGGAGGTAGTCCTGATTTTCGGGAGACTCGTGCGACTTCCAGGAGACTTGGAACCCCTGTGAACAGTGAAACTGACCAGTGTCAATAAATGATGAATGATTTAAATTTTTTTAACCAGCAACTGAATTTATTTATCCCGAATGAAGGGGTTACTCTTCACCTAACTTAAGTGAATGAAAGAAGTAACCTTAACAGCAATAGCACCCTTCTAATAGACTGTTGCAAAACTAACCTGAAGTAAGACCATTCCCAGCATGCAATTGGCAGCAAGGTTTGCTCTCTTCGGGAGAGGGATTCGTCTTGTGAGAGCCCACAGGGTCCCGACTGTCAAAGCTGATGTAATACCCTATAAAATGGAAAAGAATATTTTTCATTATATATTTAGGGTAGCATGAGACTGCACCAAGGATATTTTTCCTAGCAACGATGTTCCCGAAATATTTAGCAAGGATCTGTGCGCATGGCATCAGGTTATGGCTAATCTTAATCTGGGCACTCACTGCCCTTGACAGTCGTTGGCCGATGCGATTCTTTAAAGGACGCAACGTCACGACGTGCGCGCAGCGAACAGTTTGTTTTTAATGACGATCCGTTAAGCCAAGGACAATCAGCAGACAGCATTTCATCGTGTACCGCTCACGGGGATACACATATTGAGTAATATATATATATTATTTTGTGATAGAATAGAGAAGTAAGATACTTCAGTATAGATGATTGCACCTGTAATTATTTTTGTAGCTTGTTTTTTTGCATTACAGTATCTTCTCGCATTTATTAAGATGAGGCTTAAAATATCAAATTGAGATAAAAAAAAAACAAAAAAAACAGAGGGTCTTCTTATAAGCACAACATACCGGTACATTTTTTTTTATACACATATTGAGTAATATTAATTAATAATAAGTAATATATAATAAAAAAAAATGTGAGAGAATATTCTTATAAACAAAAACAATTTATTTACCAGTATTCTGTGATCAAATTGCACTGTAGTCGAGTTTTCAAAAAAGTTTTTCCATTTGGGGTCAAAAGTTAAGATGTCCTGAGGTATCCATCTATCGGCCATTTTAGGGAATGAATTGTAAACAAGGCCAGCATCCAAGCCAGCTACAAATGCACCTGATAAAGAATTATATAAAAAATATACCTCCTGAATACAGCACTCAATTAGATCATATTTATTCACATATCACTCACTTAAATTATATATTTATATAATGTATACAAATATAAAATATTATAATAATATACACTAACATGTTTAAGCTAGGAACTTGGAGGTTGCAGTTGGATTCAAATGAATTTTAATAATAATCACTTACTAGTAGGTAAGTAAATAATCAAATTATTTAAAGATAAACCTCAATTTCAACATACATAAGACTTCAATAAGAAAAAAAAAGATTGTTCTTACTTGAGTCTGTGACTAATTCACTAAAATATGTCAGTAAAATAATTACGTACAAAACATTTAAAAATTTACATTTGAAAGACACATATTTCTAAAAAATGGCCAGAAACAAACAGCACAACCAAACATTCTCAAGACACATATTAAGAAAAACGTCATTAAAATTGTTTTTAAAATCTTGAACACACTTTGCAACGAATTGTATCTAAGGCTTTTGTTTAAATTTAGTTTTTGGAATAATAATACTGTAGCTAGATTATTTTCAGAATGTCTCGTCAGATGTGAAAGTGCGAGATTGATTATTTTAAACACTGTGACAGCATAATTTTAATTTTGCTTCCACATTTTCCCAACTAAGTGCATACAAACTTGATTCATAGATGCTTGCACCTGTAATTATTTTTGTAGCTTGGTTTTTCCATTACCATATCTTCCCGCATATAAGACGAGGCTTAAAATATCAAATTATGTCGAAAAACAGAGGGTCTTCTTATACGCGCAACATATACACTTTTGATTTATTAAATCATTTTCTCCTAATGTGCGGATTTTTCGTAACACACAACTACTACTATTGAAATGAAGCTACTAACCGATAGTACTGTATGAATGAAAAAAAAAATTCAAAAATTTAAAAGCCCAAAAAATGATATTATTTGAAAGTTTAGCCCAACATTTTTGGCTGCGTTCTTATCCAGCTAGAAACAGTATCAACACCATGAAAAGCAGCAAAAAATTAGGCCTAAGCTGTTGAGATACACCACGTACCAAAGAAGGAATTCCATCGGTGAAATTAGTGGGGGGTCGTCTTATGCCCGACATACAAAAATCGTACAAAAAATCTTCTTAAACTCTGGGGTTTTCTTTTACTTGGATTGCCTTTACGCAAGAATTTATGGTACATTGGCCCCACATAACATTACAATAGTTTGGTGCAATGATACTATCCCATAATTAAGTCTCTTTGGCTGTTTCTAGTGCTGAAGACTCTCAAACCCGGCCAGTGTCAAATTTTAATTTATAGTCAGGTTGCTCTGCTCCTCAATAAAGAACCATGTATCCGCAAAATATCTATACTGGCGCTGTACTGCAGCTGCCGTGGGTCCCCAGCAAAATTTCCAAATTTCGAATAGTTTGGAACTAGATGAAAAATAGAAATTTATTTATTTAATTTACATTACAAGATTTATGAAGTCAGCTGAAGGATAATTTATCATAAATGTGGTCTAGTGGTACGACATTTGCCTTTATAACAAGGTTCGAATCCCACCAAAGACACCTTTGACCTACCTGATAATGCTGTGGCAAAGACAAGACCCACAGTACCGTGTGCAAACCTTCTGATAACAGGTAGGAGTTTACTTTCTGCAATCTGCCAAAAAAAAAAAAACAAAAAAAAAATACATGGTGACAAACAGTGGTTAATTAGTCTTGAAATAGCACAAAGTTTGTGGAACGCACAATAATTGGAAGCGGTTTGGCACAGTGCAAACAGTTTGGTTTCCAAACCTCAATATCAGGGTTTCAATAATCCAAGTGCGAATCCAGGGAGCAATGGGGGATAGGGCCCCCAAAAAAGAGAAAAAGAGAAATGGAGAAAAGAGAGAACGAGCAACTGATGATATTATAGTAAAACACATGCAAATATTGTGAATTTTCTCGAGATGGGTTTTTTCTGGGAGATTCTATACTTTCCTGAGGGAGGCTGTTTCGATTTCCAGGTGACTCCTATGATTGCTGGAGGCTTGGGACTCTTTTTGATTGGTCTTATATTTTGCTACTGTATTGGGCCAAAAGAGGTATGCGTTGCCAGACCCAAATTACCATAAATCTCCAAAATCCAGATTTTGTAGTTTATTTAAGCTCAAATTAATAATGTAAATTTAAAAATCCAGATAGACTGACCTTGATTTTAATGAATTTTCAAAACATTCATTTATTAAATTCGACTATGGTCTACAAGAGCAAATACAAATCAAATAAGTGAAAAAATCCAACGGCAGATGGACAACAAGGGGAACAGCAAGAGCAGCAGCAGCCGACAGGGATAGATAGAGGAATTCTGTGGAGGCCTTATGCAGCACATGATGCGAAACAGATAGGTAAGGTAATGGTCTACCACTCCACTTACTTGAGTAGGCTTTAGTACGTGAGATAGGCCCTGCCAAAACATCAGTGCATATAGAAGGAAGGCAGATCCTAGGTGTGAGGCTAGCCTGTACTGGCTTACACGTGGAATGTCTGTTTTCGCAGGCTCTTCTAAGCCACTTTTCACCATAAACCAGCCAAGCAGTCCCTGCAAAGATTATACTGAGATTTCATATTTATACAAGAAAAACCAGTTCAATCTCAAAAACAAGAAAACTATATTATAATAGCATTGTAAGAGGTTTCTTAACCAATTATAGAGGGCGAAATTAAATATGTTGTCACATGATTGTTATTGATATATTTAATGCGGGTTAATGGGTGTCCAGATCGCGATCAAGATCTAACGTGTGTTTTAACCACTCACTTGAAATTTTATTCATACATTTTAAGATGAAGTACCGTACAGATGTACTACAAACATTGTAATGTCTGATGAATAATGATCAGTTGTATTGAATAGTTGCACCATATTTTTTCGTAAAATGTGTACACTGTAGTATGGACTGACACTGCAGCTGTTTATTTATCATTATGAATTATGTTCTTTACTTTATAAACATTTGATTAAACTGAATGACAAATATGTAAATTTTTTAATTGATAGTCTTGAAATACACTTTGATACATATATATGCTCATAGGTTCTGTTTGAATAATCGGACTGCATATGAATTGTTTGTATTGTGTTTATGACTGAATATTTAAATGATATAATAAACTGATATTAATTAGACATTTTGTTATGCTTAGTCACCAGACTTACAGAGAGAACCAGCCTAATCACCACTATGATTAGCATGCGTTCGATATGAATGACGTTTATGTGTGCCATATACTTTCTTTTGTGTAATACTTTTCAAGATAGTATTCTGTCTCAAAAAAACTCTGACAGTCGGACCTCTCTGCTATTCTATACACTTTGGTATTTATTTATTAACTGCTTTGGGTGATTGTGCCGCCCTCTACCAACCCTACTGTGTAAGCAGCAAAGATCTTATAAACACAAAATAGCGTTCTCCGCGATTTACGCGTAACAAAGCGAAGCGTCGATTTGGCACAGAAAAGTAATCAGTTTTGGGAGAGGGTGTCCTAGTCGTTGCCATGGATCTGAGATAGTGTGTTTGTGTTACGCCATAAGTTCGTTACCAAGTACGTTAATTTGTTCCTTATGTTCTAAAGAGAGGGCTTCTAATTGTTACGCGTAACTGTAAAGTCGCACGGTGTACGCTATGGTCAGAGCGGTCAAGGGTCAAATGTTTCCAATTTAGCAAGAGGGCGTTTTTCATGCCTTATTACAGAATTTGTACGCGTAAATAGCAGAGAATAAATAAATATATAAACACAGTGTATATA